CGCTTTTCGATACTCGGGAACTGGACTATAGCCTTGAGGTCTTGGCCAACCGTGCTACAAGCCTCAAGACTTTGGCGGAACAGAGGGCTTCCTGGCAGGTAATGTAGGGGCCTTAATAATTAGAACAGGGTGTTGGGGGTTCCTTCTTATAGTTGTAGTACAGTATAATATACCCTCAAACCCTATTCTGATTATCAACGCCTTCCTCGCTGAGGCTTCAAATATCCTACGCATACAAGTTTAGCATGCGATCATTAAGGCCCCTACATTAAATTAAGTCTGTATCGGTGATGTAGTGTTTCGTAGTATAAACCAAGCCCAGGACATCAAGGGCATGGTCAAGGCTTGCGGCGACTTCATCTTGGCTCCTCGGCTGGAGTCCATCCTATGCTATGCTAGACTATGCGATATATTATGCTATACTTACACGATTCTGTTTCAGTTTTAGCAACAAATTGAGATACACTATATACCATTCCACGCCCAGGCACCATCTTTGTTGAAGGCGCAGGTGCCTGCGAACGCGCAATGGCGGATGCTTGGCTCATCAGTCCGTTCCCGTTTTCCGAGCACGCGGGGGCGGGAGAAGGGGGGTGGGCGGGTGCTGTAGCACTTCAATTGCATTATAGTGGTCGCCCCAAGACCCATCAAGGAAATCGCCTTCAATCAGGCCGCATGTCATTGTGTCATTGTCAGCGCGCATGTGGACTGCGGGAGGCAAAATGCCCTCCGAATACAGCGGGTCTGAATAGTTAGCAATACTTCGGGTGTTGCATCTTCCTAATGTATAGTATGTTATATCCCAAAACCTCTTGAACCAGGTCATAATTCCTTGAACGCGGGTCAGCACCTATGATACCCTGTTCAACGAGCCTAGTCTTGTCATTTGGGACCTGCTAGAAGCCCAAACCCCTGGCCTTAAAACGAAAACACTAAATCCGAACCTTCCTCGCTTGTGGGCATTGATCCTAGCCGTGCAACAGGGAACAAACCCCGAAACCCTACAGTTCGCAACATCTCAGCAGACCTCGAACCATGTGCCTCGCCATGTTCGTCCTACCTAGACACCCCAACTACCTTCTAACATACCCCAAATACCCACTATTCAGGGCCATTAAGGGCACTATTCAAGGGCCCTTGGGCGAGTGTGAGCGCCGAAAATAGGGGACCCTAATATAGCACCCCAAATAGCAGGATCCTTGTTAGCAGGACCCCCAAGTAAGGTACCCCCCTGAAGCTGAGGCACATCTACAACGAGTATGAAGCCGGACTTGCATCCGCATCGGACAACTTCTGGCAGAGCCTTGGCAAATAAGGGGTTCCTTCAAAGGGATTCTCTAAGGGTTCCTTAAAGGAATCTATAAGGGTTCTAAAGAGGGTTTAGGGTTTAGAGTTTCCGAAAATTAGGGGGGTACCTTATTTTGGGGTCCTGATAACAAGGATCCCGCTATTTGGGGTGCCTATTTTCGGAAACTCCCACGTACTGCTAGTGAGAGTGCTGTTATTGCGAACATTGTAGCTAGTTCTTGTGAATGCCAATGCTAATGTCATGACATGGTTCTTATGTCTGTTGATTATACATGTTATCATGTTGATTACTGTTGTTCACATTTTATCATCATCATGATTCTTACTGCTGTAATATGTATCTTGTGATTCTTTCCACTATCATTGTTACTATCATGTCACGAAATGGCCCGTTCTATGATTTTTTTCGTCTAGATTTCTCCGCTATGCTATTGCTAAAGCTTTGCTGTATTTTGATTTTCTATATTGCACTGTACCATGCCATACTGTTGTCGATAGTAGTATAAGATGCTTTACATCATACACAAGGGTATTGTGTGCTCTGCTATGCTGTGGTGTCTTTTGCCGTTGGACGGGGATGGGTGCATTGGAAAAGGCTTCCAGGTGTTCTCATCTTTCGTGGCCTCCTGGGACCTAGGATGTCTTATGGCATTCTCAGCGTCCTTGCAGCTAAGTTTGTGCTACTTAGGATGTCCTCAGCGACCGTCAACTGGAACTTCAATCAGCTGACCCAACGGACCCTTGGCAGCAACGAGATTGAATCACAGCCCTGCCTCTTCAAAAGTCCCATGATTTATGCATAGATGTCGCATAGCGTGACTGCGGCCTCGATGCTGGTACACTTTACTTGGGAGTTGCCGACAATTAGGGGTACCTTATTTGGGGGTCCTTATAGTAAGAATCCTAGTATTTAGGGTACTATACTATGGTCCCCAAATTTCGGAAACTCCCACTTCGAGGTCCGGGTGGTCCTCTTGCGCGGCCGCCGATAGGAAAGCGAGTAGAGATGTTTGTGATTACTAGGGTCGCTATCGAGTCGCAGTGGTCCTGACTAATTGCAAACATGTTGTAAGATGTAAGTACAACGAAAGCATTACATGATGGTTTAGTAAGTGGTATACTACGGCATGCGTATAGTATAGGTTAGTGTAGTGTAATGTTGCAAATGGCGGCCAAATCCTAGGCTGTCTCACATGCAGCCGTGGCGGCCAGAGCATTCCATTGCTCCTGGGCCTCGAGTCATTATGCGTATATGTACCAGTATGTATACAACAACTTATATGTATATATATATATATGCATATACATACATATAGAGACACAAAAATATCTACATATATAACCTATTCCTGCACATGTATGCTGTACATATATATATATATACACACAGACCTATGCATTCGTTCTTGATTCTGCAATATATTATACAATACTTATGTGACATTTTTTGTTCCCAATGTATTTGTGCAAGCGCGAATGTCGAGCCGGAATTGCGGTAAGAAGCCGCAGGCGAAGGTTTTTGTTGCAGCCCAGGATATCGTCCTTGCCTACGGCAGCCATACCCCCACTTTGGCTGTGCAAGACTCAACGTTCAATTTGCAGGTGGGCTTGCCAAGTCTTGCCAGCGTGGCTGAGCTTGAAAAGTTGCTAAATTTCTGCACCAGGAGATGCTTCCTGGATCGCTGACAGCAGTCATCGCACAGAGCTCATGGCTTTGGCAACTCGAAGGCCATGTCTTGCCGTGAGTTTTCACGCAGACTATTGCTCGCTAAAGAGACCGCCCAGCCGCGGCCACGATCATGTGCAGTTTCGCTGACGCGTGGAGTTCGAAGCTGCAGCAACAGCAAGAGCAGTAACATTGACCGATTGAGCACTTGAGGTGTTTTTCAATGTGGCCGAAGGCCATCCAAGAGAACCGTCAGTGAGAAAACACACAGAGACACACCCTGAATGTCGACCTCCGCAAGGTCACTTATCAGTCGCAATCCCGTTCTCAAGTCTCTTGTGTCGACCCTTGAGGCATCACGGCGGTGCACGAGGTGACCCGATTGATGGACCTGATCTGTCGCTCGGATCGCATCACTGGTGTATATATGTATACACATATACATATATACACACAATATTATTTGTTCTCTTGTACCAGTCCGTACCAGATACCATCACCAATGTTTGAAGACACCAACGCAAATATTACAATGCTTATGTGTACAATTGAACGCATGCTATGCTATGCTTTGCCAGTCTCTACCTGCTCTATATAAGATGCTATGCATAAAGCAGTTCAACACCTGTTGTACCGAATCGTTTGCTCTAAGGTCGAAGTGGGCTTGGCACCGAGTCCCTGAACGCTATGCTCGTCAGCCACGGGCCACTTTCGCCAGCGCGGACGTCACCGTCGAAGTCTCCGGTGCCATGGAAAGGGTTTAAGGGATTTAGGGCTTAGGGTTCAGGGTTTCAGAACGACTTCAGGGTCTTACAGGAACAGGGGCTAATAGGGTTTAGGATTGACTTGAGTCCAGTAGCAAGAAAGGTTTCAACCAAGCACCTCAGCACAAGAGGATTCCTGCAACTTGGGCAACCCAGGGGTCTCTCACCCAGGCATCCTTAGATCAAAGGGGAAAGGAGGGACCCTTAATGGGGACCCCTACCCTATAGTGGGCTGTATAATTATAAGGGGTATATTATGGCTAAATTACGGGTATTCACCTAGGGGTCCTTAATTAAGGGTCCCTCCTTTTACCCTTGGATTAGATCTCAAACTCCCGAATGTCCAAATGCAAGGGCATCCATTCCCACGGAGCTTCGCAGATCAGGTGGCCAAAGACAAGATCAAGAAGCCGCAGCTGCTACGACAACAGTCCACCCTGAAATCTGAAGACGTTGAGAAGGCAGAGTACTTGAAGGCTTAAGGCACTAGGAAGCCTTGGGCTTAAGGTTTCCAAGGATGCACACGTTCCGTGGCAGGATCAACCCCAACGCACATTTGTTGCAGCACCCTTGGCGCGCTGGCAGGCGATGTCAGGATCCGTGGGCAAGATGTGAAATCCTGCGACTCTCTGCTTTTTTGCTTAATGGTGACCTCAAGAACTCGGCACAAGCCCAGAATGTAGAGAGCTCAGAGGCCAACCACGGTCTCACAGCTGCTTACAGGAAGCAGAGTGCCGTTATGCAGCTTTTCGGCTTGTCTCGTTGTAGGGTTATCCCACCTGACGGCGACTTGCGGCGCGCATGGTAGTTTCCGAAAGGTCTCCACCGAGAAAAGCTGCATTGCTTGCACGGAGGTAGCAAACGCTGGCCCGGAGCCCCCGGCGCTAGGGCCCTTCTACTGGTAGCATCAGAGTTGCGTAGTGTCAACTCAACAATTCAACACGGCGCCCACTTCTCAAAGGGATTTGGGTGCCGAGGACCTGCATCATCTATTGTCAAAAAAGGCCTGTCTTCTGTGTTTATATACATGGTCACGTATTTGATGTGTGTATGATAGATTATGCTATAATATGTCATCACATGGCCTGTCTTCACGGCCGTCTTGCATGCGTCCGGGAGACGTATTGGAGGGACATGAGGCCTTGGACTCTGTCGGGCTCGTCAGAAAGCTCAAACATGACACCACACCCTATCACAGCTTCACGAACCTGAGACTCTGAGATGAGCACCAGATTTCTTGCAGCATCCAAGAGAGATCAAAGGCAATTGTTCAACGCCCGGACCTGGGAGAGGAGACCTTCGAGTGTCTCGGCTGAATGTCTGAAACGTCGGAAAGCGGGCCTACCGCAAGTTCAGTTTGTAGTGAGGAGAGGGCAATCCCCTCGACTCCTGGCACTTTGACTTGAAAGGTTCCCGCGGTGAAACTCAGCATCATCCGACGATTCTTTGAAGCATCTCCCAGAAGCACCAAGGAACTTCTGCAAAGACGAGGACGTCCCGCTGCAGCTGCGCTACACGGCTCTCCCTCCTGCCGGCGACCCAGACCTTGCAGCCGAAGCGTCCAAAGCGAACACCTGCCATAAAACCATCCGTTGCAACTTTCTGGACTGTGAGAGTTTCAGAATGCCTTGGTGGCGTGACGTTGACATCCTTTTGTGATGGTCCATCACCAGCTCTGTGATCTGGAGGTGGAGGACGGCTGCCCGGCTCACCGCATCAACATTTATGAGATGACTTCGGCTGACCTGCAGCGCGTGGGGGAAAAAAATCAGGATTTGCCGACAGGAGCTCTCGACACAAGACACGAAGATCGCAAAACATGTCACATTATGCCAATACAGTGCATTATATTTTTGGTTTTTGCCTATATACAAACCTATTCTAATTTACGATTACATAGTATTAAATGCCCTTTTCTGTAATGTATTGCAGTCTTTGTTATCTTCTACTGTATACCTCAGTATACATGGTATTCCTTTTCGATGTGTCACGGCCTTGCTGTCGTCTCAAGCCACCCTGCCTGGGCCCGGAGCGATCAGACCCGGGTCTGGCCAGGTGGGAAGGAGCAGTTCGGGTCGAAAGGCCGGGATGACTTACCTTTGGCTAGTAGGGAATGGAAGAATGGTAGTAATAGTAGTTATAATTCTACCCCGTTCTTCCATTCCCTACTTAACCAAAGGTAAGATGAGGGTTAAGGGTTTCGGGATTTAGGCAAGTCTTCCCGGTAGAGTCGCTGCAGACCGGTGTCAAAAGGGTTTAGGGGCTTTAGGGTGCGCGGACTTGCTGGCCGACACTAACGAGCCCAGCTGCAAAAAACGGGTTCTGCAGTAGGATTTCGGCCTCAGCACGGGTTCGAACGGTTCAGTTTGACATGGTAGATCTGGGTGCTTCATCAGTGTTTTTAGGATCCTAACCAGAATTTCACTTCAAGGAACTACAAAGGAGTTCTTGGAGGTAGAAGAGACGTGGGACCCAGAGCGACTTCAGTTTTCCGTCTTGACTTGGTCCAGGCTCCAAAGCCGCAAGCGGCACGGCTGCTGGCCCGGGCCAGTTCCTAATTTTGACGACAAGTGATATCGACTTGCCTTCGGCTGGCTGCAAAGATTTCCGCTGCCTCCGTCTGTGAGTGAAGCTGCAAGGCATTCGTGAGCAATACAGGGATGTCAGCCCGAGTCAACTCCCAGGTGGTTCCCAGAAAGAGGGCAAGGGAACTCCAGGACCCTTCTGCTGGGAGGGGTTTGAGATGACACGGCTGCCTTGAAAGCTGCATTGTTGCGTGCTGCCGTGGCCATGTACCTTCGAAAGTTGTAGGAAGGGGCGCTCTCTTAAGGTTTCGCTCAGCCTGGCGACGCCCGGGCTGTTCGTTTTTTGGGCGTCGGAGGGGAGGCCATGGCATTGTACAGCATTCGGGTGCAACAGCTGTCTGGTAAGCTCATCGGTGAAGTGGAGCTGCCTGAAACGGCCCGCGTTGCAAACATCCTGGAAGCAGTACACCCTGAGGAGCCCGACCTTCTTTTGAGGAGGGTTTTGGTCTTCAGCGGACGATCTTTGGCAGAGAACGAAGTTCTTGGCCAGATAGGACCTGAAGCTCCGGCAGTCCTGGAATTACATGAGATAACACAGCCACTTCGGACAGAGCGAGTGTCTTCTCTACCCGAGAATTGCCGCACCATTCATTTAGGGCTCTTTGGACAGCACATGTCTGGCAAGACGAGTTTGCTCCACAGGTACACCCACAACACATTCAACGAACGCATGCTGCCCGCTTCGATAGGGATTGACTTCCAGGTTGCCAGGGTGATGGCACATGATGAACCTGTGAAGGTCATTCTTTGGGATCAGCCTGCAGGCAAGGAGCGCTTTCGAACCATCACCTCCGTCTATTTTCGAAGAAAGCAGGCTATTCTGCTGATTCTCGACTTGACGTACCCGGATTCCTTCCGCGACATCAGCGACTGGCTCCGTTTCCCGGAGGCACAGGTGATCCCAACGAAGCTGTTGATCGGGAACAAGGCTGACCTCGAAGAGGAACGAAGAATTTCCAGAGAGGAAGCCGAGATATACGCCAAAGAGCACGACCTCGTTTACTTCGAGACATCTGCCAAAGAGGGTACCGGTGTGGAAGAAGCCATGGATTATGCAATTTTTGATGTCCTCGCGCATGAAATTCAAGCGCCTGCGCAGCCTGTGGTCACAGAACCGCTCCGAACATCCATCCGGAGGTGCGAAGTGCAGTGATTCGCATCTCACCGCTTAATATCAACTCCCAAGCTCTCACGTTGGAGGTATTTACGCAGTTTTGAAGAATTCAATACTAAGTTCTCTCAGAATTGACGTGTTGCCGCAGCCAGCCGACTAATTAGTTAGTAGAAGCACCAACTGGGGAGCAAGGATTGCATAGCCTGCTTAGACCTGCTTAGAGGATGTCGGAGCAACTTGGCCGATTTAGGTCGAGTCTCCACACTGCAAGATTGCAGCGCGAGCCTGCTTTGACAAAGAGGGGTATCTTCGTACTGGACCCACTAGACCTTAGCAGAAGATTCCGAGGTTCGGAATGTTCACAGAATTGTCATTCTTGTGCTTTATGTGGTATTCGTGTCAATGCAATTTTTAATGCTAATAATTGTTTATAGAAGGTTGAATATATGATTAGTAACATCAGTATTCCGTATTTTCGTATGAATCTGTATCTATATACACACACACACATATATATATATATATATATATATATATATATATATAAATGTGCACATACATTCACTTACGTTCGCATATACATAATACACACACACACCCACACATATATATATATATATATATATATATGTATGATCTTGTCATTGCGGTTTCATGGTGTTATGTATTAGTATCAAGGTTGTTGTTGGTATCATCCTTATGACTATTTTTGAAGACCCTTCCTCGCCTGCAGGAGCCTCCAGTGGGCCAAGCCGGGCTCACACAGCAGGCTGAAAAGGTTTAAAAAGGTTTTCATGTTTAAGATTTATGGCATTTTCCCGGCTGATTGCAAGAATCCTGGATGCAAAAAGATTTATGGCAGTCGCAATAGGCCTGGATGCAAGAAGAAGGATTTGCAGTTTGCAGGGTTTCAAAATTTCAATGGTTTCAAGTTTAATCTCGGGCCTGCGGGTAACCAGGATTTGGGGTTCAGGGTTTCGGGTGCTTGGCTGAAGGGATTCAGAGCTCATTGCAGTCCCTGCTCAAAAAGTCAGGCCTTTGAATTGCTCAGTCCGCTGAAAGCACTTCAATGCAGGCTTTCGATTCGGTGGCCAGGGATGCTCCCAAGCAGCGAAGGCAGAACTCCGACTCCTGCCGCACTTTCACATCAAGCCACGGTCCTTTATTCGAGGCCCTGCTCGTCCCAGCAGCCCTTGCAGGGCCGGAAGCAGAGGTGCGGTCTACACTTGAGGCGCCCTCGGCTTCAGCTTACGTGCATTTTGTTCCTGGGAATATTTCGCGGCTGGCAGAGGCAGCGATCTCATCAGGTGGGGCTGATGGTTGCCGTCGGAAGCTGAGACCTGCCGCGCGGCCATGCGGAGCGTGTTCCACGACTGCGACACACGCCCGAGGTCAGGTGCTGAAACGGATGCTGCTGCGTGGACGCCTCAGAGCCATCAAGGCCAAGGCTTTCAGCTTTGCAGTTGCTGCTGTCTGAGAGTCTGAGGCTGGCATCCAGACAAAGCGCTCCAGGGAGAGTCTGCCGAGGCCAAGCCCCGCGTCTTGATGGCTTAGCCCGTGCATGGGCGCCGTGTGATCCGTATGTCGAGCATGCACTCGCTGGAGTCTTCACACCGAAACTACACCCGATCTTGGCCCCTGAACAAGCAGCATACTGTCGCACCCGCCGACGCAGAGATTCGATTGTCTGGAGATGTTTGGAGTCAAAATAAGGTACCCCTAGTTTTCGGAAACTCTAAACCCTAAACCCTTTATAGAACCCTTATAGATCCCTTTTAAGGTACCCCCTAGTTACGACAACTTGTTTGCTATGCTAGAGATACACACGCCGTGAGTGCAGGCGAAAGCAGCCCAGGCCGAGTCAACCCGAGTGCCTGGAACCAAGATACCCTGAGCGATTCCAGCATTGATGTTTCATTTAGTAATAATAACAAGAATAACAATACTACAATAATAATAACAGTAACAATAACAATAACAATAACAATAATAATAACAACAAGTATTATCACTAAAACTAAGTTTTAGACTTACTGTCCATGGATGTGACACGAGCTACCAAACGGGTGCTGTATGGCGCAAGATCCGAAGTCGAAACTATACTCTACAAGGCCCTCTTCCGCGCCCTTTCTCTCAGGCATTCTCTATTCGGCTTATTATTATTATAACCAGTAGTATGCCTTTATTATAGTGATCAGTTAGTGTATATATATATATATATATACATATATATATATATATATACATATATATATATATATACATATATATATATATATACATATATATATACATATATATACATATATATATATATAGTAATTACTCAACATATCCCAAGATCGCTTCGAGGCTGCGCTTCATCCTGCAGGAGAGAGATCGGCCAGCAACCCAAGCTCTCTCGAGTCTCTCGCTTTGAGCACTGGAGATATGGCTCGGGGACTCGAGTGATTTCTTGGGGGAGTCTGAGTGCAGCAAGCTTGGCTTGGCGACTCTTCGCTGATTGGACTGTCGAGGTTGGGCCTCTAAGTTGGCTCCCGCCAACAGACGTGATGCAGACCCTGCTTGCTCCCTGCAGTGAGCCTCTAGTCTGCTCATGTCTGCTGTGTGTCCGAGATGCCAGATCCCCGGCGCACCGGGAGCACATTTCAGAGTAGTTTGTCGGAGCGAATTCGAACTCCTTGGTGTGGCCCCACTGCAAGCTGTGGAACTGGTCGTAAATCCCGTGCCATGGATAGTTAATGCATAGGCTCGTTGAGAATATATCGGGCCAAAAACGGGCCCTGCGGAATTAGGAATGGCGATGAATAGAGTTTGGGGGTGTAGTATATGTTATGCTATATTATATAGGGAGATGACGGACTGGTACTGCTGATTTTTCGGATCACTATATTGGAAGAGGTCTTCTGCACCCGAAACCCGAAGTAGAAGGCAACAACAACCCACAACCCTTCATCATAGCATCAGTGACACGCCAGAGCTAGGAAGGCATTACGGAACGAAAACTGCATATTTCGGAGTGTCCCACCTAACCTGTGCCCAAGAGCAGTTCCACAACGTGCGACCTTGCAGAGCGAGAGATTTCCGGATGCAAAGTGCAGAAGCCGGCACACATAGCCATACATCCTCCGGAAGTACCAGGAGCGTGGTGCAAATAAATGAGACATCTGCAGACATCGATCGCTGGAACTTGCGAAGTCTCACCTGTACATGTTCGGCGGACGAAAATGGCTGGGCTTCACGGTGTCGGCAGTCTCACGACATGAGAGGAAGCTCAAGGCTTGCAACGCATGAGAGGTCCATGACAAATTGCAAGTTAGACGGTGACTCCGCTGTAATTATGCACCTCGCTATTGACGTAATTCTCTGACGCGAGCATTTCAGAAACTCTAGCTATGGCTCCATTGTATGCCGCAGAGTCATTTCGGCTCCAAGTGTGTTGCGAACGATTGGAAGCGTTGGGTGCCGTCCCCAGTTGCGCTCTGTGCTCGCTGCCCACCACAAACATGCAATCAGCGATGGCCGCCTACTTTGTCGCTGTAGATGTGCACAGTGTAGCCGTTCGGATGTGAAGATGGCAAGTCAAGCTCGTCCGTTTGAGCTGCTTCCCGCCACCCGGGCCGCGACACATACTTACCTGGCTCAAGTGAAGACAGCCCTAGCTGAATATCACTTATTGCGACTCAGGCGCATCGATGAGTGCTAATGCTACTACGATGGCAGCGCGTTGCTGAAGATAGGGCCACAAGCAAAAGCCACACATCTAGCGATGCCACCGGACAGTGGTCAAGCGGAAGCCGACCCTTTGTGGGGAACTACCAGCAGCACACCGAGTACGAGTAAACATGGTAGTGTACGGCAATCTTACGCATAACAACAAAAAATAATAAAGATAACACAACAGTCATAAGACTACAATTTTTACAAAATAACCGATGTCCTACAGCTTGCCATAGCTTTCCAGAGCCATGTTCCGTCTTCGGGCCTTCCCGGTTTGCTCCTCAGGAGTTCCAAACGTTCTCTTAGTAGCCGAATCACTATATGGGTACACTTTACACTACTTGAGATAATACAGTTGGCCAAAGAAGTGAAAGTTTACACTTCTGGGGCTTATGAGTTCGGCGACTGAGTTCTGACACCTAAGCCGGAGCACAGGCATTGTGTTGGTTTAGGGTCGATGGCTTTGGCTCTAGAGAGCCAGCGGAGTGGCTGAGCAAAAAACAGGATGAAGGGCCTTGGGCACAGGTCAGGTTCTGTCTGAAGAATTGCAAAGATGGTGGATGGATACTTGCATTCCACTCGTTTCCCATCCTTTTCCCTACCTGAAACATGATGCTGTCATGCTTGCTGAAACAGTTCCCGTGAGAGCGTGGTGGACCTACTGGCAGACACTCAGAGCCCAGCCGCTTCATATGTAATCATACGGTTGATGATTTAAATCCTGCATTACCCATAATAAGGAAAATGTGGGAATTATGGTATATTCCTTGTTATATGTCATGCAGGATTTATATCATCAACCGTAGTAATCACAAGGAAAATCATCATGATCATCATGCCCTAAACCGAGGCCAACTTCTTCCTGGCGCTTCTCGTGAGAGGAGTTTGGTGTGCTTCGCCCAACAGCTCGGATGCAGGTCAGATCCGAATCTCTAAGAGTTGCAGAGTCGCAAGATTCCACAACGAATGTGTAGTATAATATCACATCATATATCAATGCCACACTTGGGAGAACATCCCATCAATGAAATGTTTCATCCGCACATGCGCTCAAGCCGTCCGCAATGTACTTTCCCATGCCAGAAATTTTGCAGCTGCCGCGAGCCGGGCCAACTGCACCCGCGAGGCGTTTGGAACGTGTCTTTTCTGGATGCCCGGGGCGAAGAGAACACGATCAGCCTGAGAACGCAGTCGACCCAGCATCAGCGGAATGTGCTTCGACTCGATGCGATGCGGGCTGAGGGCCGGTGGCTTGGAGTGGTGCTCGAAAAGTGGCTGCCGGCGCCCATCTTCCCTCCAATTCGACTACAACAACTCGATGTCGATCAAAGGCAGGGCACGGAGTCACGGAGCAGCATGCTTTTCTGCCGGCAGCTGCTTGAAAACACATGGCGAGGCTGTGAGTACCGACTTATCGGACGACTAGCCGCCAACGCTTCCACACCGATCTGTGGCCGACAAACGAAGAACTTGTGGTGTTCCCGCGGGTCTTAAAGTCTTAATGTCAGAAAAGAGGGAGCTGCAAGAAGCCCTAGTTCTCGGCCCAGCATGTGGCATCCCACAGGATTGCACCGCTCAGGAAGCCTGCAGCATCTCCGGGGGCCTACACCGTGCACCTTGGACTTCCTTCGCGCGCTGGTAGATTCTGCCCAGACCCCCGGGAAGATCCAGAAAGTAGATCTCTTAATGGGGGTTCCTATAAAGTACCCTTAGTTGTATACGGCTCCAAATTAGGGGATCTACTTTCTGGATCCTCCGGGGGTCTGGGTGTCGCACATTGGGATGTCATGAACACGACCAAGTCTGAGGCCTCCAACACTAGCTGCCTCGCTGCATGTGCCTCCGCATCCCTTCTTGCGGAGTGGCTTCCGCCTGCCGCCCATTCAGAGGCGATTAGAGGCTCGAGCCTCAACTCCCAAACTCTAGACCCTATCTTGATCAATGGTAAGGGGTCCTTTCTGCTTCTCTTCCTAAGATGTTCATAGGGAGTTCCTTCCTAATCTATACCCAGTTTTTCGCTAGACGAGCCAGTTGCCCCCAACTCCTAGCTCCCGAAAACAGACACCGACAGTGTGAGCGAAGAAGCCGGACGCACTAGCTGTGCTTTTTTTCTAGAAGAGGGATAGCCTGTCTGGACGCAGTGCTGGGGCCAAGTTTGGGACTCTCCTCTGAAATTGTTATGAGCCTGCGAAATGTGCTTTCTCCCACGGCATGCCAATACCAACGGCCGGTGCCTTAACGGAATGTAGGCTTTCCCTGCTTTAGTTTCTCACTGATTCCCTCAATATTTCGGATGGAGGACAGTGAAAGGCAGAGAGACCAGGTTGGTATCTATGGGGTCACGTGTTTGGAGTGGTCGGGGGTTGCGAAGATCATCATGCTGGAATCCGGGATCACATTTTGCTCACACCGACTCCAGATGCGCAGCGGTTTCGTTCCCACAACAAACCCAGCGAGCAAGCAGGCAGGTTGGTATTGCAACGGGCCTCCCCCCAAAGCCCCGAACATCAGGGTGTTGCAGTGAGAGCCCGCAGAGCTGTACAGAGCGCTTGTAAGTTGTCAATTGGTTGCGGATGCTCACCACTGTCCTCGCTCATTGTGCTTCCGCCTTTAATCCAGACCTGCGCACTGGAGCAAAAAACTTGCAGAAAGAAAGAGAGGAAGCCAAAGATCGAGAGGTAAAGGCCTCCTAATCCCTAAAATTCCATAAACACTTAAAAGATGATCGCTAAAACTAAACATGTAATATCAATATAATTCAAGATACCTCGAACAAGGCAGGCAGGCAAGCCAAAAATCTGAAGCCAAGCCCCGTGACCCTATGCCTCGGCTGGATTGTCCGCGTTCTTAGCACCGAAGCCCTGAAACATCCTAAAACCCTGAAAGCCTTCAAACACCCCAAAACCCTTAGAAGCCTAAAGCCCCAAAGCCCTAATGTAAAAAAAAAAACCATACTGTTACCTGAACTTCGCGTCCTTGCTAAGTAGGAGGGACAAAACCCTGAACCCTAAACCCTGCATCAGCCAAAACATGTAAGTTTAATCGGATGCGGTCCATACTCTCCACATGTTCTTTATTTTTAGATGGGAGGGTCGGGTCTCCTTGCAAAAACATGCAACTTCACTTCGGTCTTTACATCTCCCAATCACAACGCTCACCTGCGCCGTCTGTGCGGTCTGTCTGCTGCACCGGTGTACATTCACTGTCGCCTCTAATGCCAAAGAGTGGCCAAGAACCACCTCAACCCCGAATAACCTACCTTTTTCAGGGCTTATATAAAGAAGTCATAATAAGGAATCCTAAAAAGGTGTATAGGTTTCTCAGGGTTAGGGCAAGACCCGAGAAGGCCGCCGTGATCGGCGCGAGCATCGGGTCGTCCTCTCCTGCGGAGCAGCGTGCCAAAGCAAGGGAGGTGCTGACGATGGCTCAGCAGGCCCTGGCTTGTGATCCTGCTTGGGGTCCCTATTAGGGTCGTCTATACTCTTTAGGGTATGTACATAGCATAGTACTATTTAGGTTTTCGCAATTTGAGGCTTCAGAATTTCTAGGGTATGGAGGGTTTGGAGTTTGGGGTGGACGTGGCCTCTGCTCGCAGGCGAAGCTGCCGGTTTCCGGCTCGGCGCTGGATGAGCTCAGGCCTCAAGAGGCGAAGGCAGCCCAGCATGAGGTTCTTACGTCGGTAGTAGAAAGGTTCCATTTTAAAGGGTACGACAGGTTGCCATAGCAAGATTTGCATTATATATATATATATATATATATATATATATAGAGGATGCCCGCCGGAATTGCCATGAATAGCACCACCCTCT